AAGTACTATTTATATAGATGCATGACCTTCCCAAGAAGAATAGGAAAAGAAATCCTATTTACCAAAGGAAACAAAATCCTATTTGCCTCACGAGAATGACCCATAAAATTAAGTTTGAAAAAGTTAACAAGAAAGTACAATTAAAGTTTAGGTCATTAAATATATGAGTTGTTTAGGGAACAATGAAGTAAGCTCTTCTTATATATCATAATTTGTCTAAAAAAACAAGGATGTTAAACATATTTTCTATCTAATATATTTATATTAAGAAATTTACAAAATAATTACTGCGATGTGGATATAAAAGGATTTTGATTGTTCTTGGTTAAGGTTTTACGAATACGATGTACAATGTTTTTTGAGTAAGTAACCACTCCCACAACATCATTTTGATAACCATCTTCATGCTTAGCATTTGTTTGGTCATAAACGGACTCAAAAGCTATGACATAGATTTTTGAATGGTTGTTTTGATGTTAGTATTCCTTCTCGCTTAAGATCTATACTCGTCATCCCAGTTTTGCAAACCTTGAAGTCTCATGAAGGTATGAATGAGGAAATAGTATCTCCCATTATACCTTAGTTGATATGTTAAAGAGTACTCATGCGACTTCTCGATGGAAGGTGTGTATTAGGCCCGTCCCTACCCAAAATTTTAAAAAAAAAGTACAATAGGCCTGATCCTAAACCCAAAATTTTGGGCCGAGAACACTAATCCATGGTTTGGAAAAACACCTAGCATAATTCCATACATAAAAGATAATTTATTCTTACATATATGCATACATAAAAGAATTGGACCTTAGTTGTATTTGTTTGTATTAGAATATACATATATTAGCGATGTCATAAAAGTGTGCCAACTCCCCTTTTGTACCATTATCGTTACCAAGGATATTTACAACCATAAATATCCTTCTTTCCACGTCAATCCCCTCTTGTACCATTATCGTTACCAAGGATATTTGCAACCATAAATATTCGCGTCAACTTCCCTCTTGTACTATTATCGTTACCTAACCCAAAATTGGCTCTTGCAACTTCTTTCCACGTCAACTCCACCAAAAACATAATTTAGAAGACTATCCTTTTCTTCACTCGATTATCAACAATAATTATGTGTTGAAGAACCAAATGGCACTTGTCATGTGTTGAAGAGCCAAATGGCACTTGTCATAGTGCATCTCAAATGATTAGTTTACTAGTTGTTAATAAATTGATCTTTTAAAGGATGAACAAAGAATGATTAGTTTTTCCCCTTCAACATGGACACACAACAAGAAAAATAGTGGTAGATTACTTGTTTCTGTTATGTAACAACATATTAATTTAACCTAAGTAAATCAACATATAATTAAAGATGCTAAGTAAAATTATATTATTTTAATCAGCCACTTAATGACAGTAGTTTCAAATGTCATTCGAAAGTGATGATATGTTGGACTTTCATGATTATCTAATTTATATATCTTGCAAGTTTAATTTTCCTTAGTGACATAACAGTCACATCAGTTATGTTTTACATGAAACACAATCAAATTAATTAAGGATCCAATTAATCAAACAACTTGTACACAAGTTTAAGCAAGAAGAATAGAACTTTGGAGGGCCAACTTGGTCTTCTAGCACATGAAACATCTAGTGGGACCTTAGAACCAAAAGTCTTTAAATACACTACTACATTTTACTATTTGCGGAACGAACAAAAATTCGTCACGCAAAATACACTTCAACGATAGAAAAAAATATTCGTCGCGCAAACCACCGAAAACGTGCGTGACCAAAAGTTTCATCGCGAAAAAAAATTTAGCGTGACAAAAAACGTAGTTGTCGCGCAAAGTGAGGAAGAAAAATGCGGGTTTATTTTTTTTGGCACCAAACACTTACGCAATGACAAATATTGTCGCGAAAGAAAACTTAGCGCGATGGTTGCCCTCTTCGTCGCGTAAAGGTAGACAAAAAATAGTGTGTTTTGTTATTTGGTGGCAAAAACTTGCGCGACGACAATTGTCGTCGCAAGAGACAACCTAGTGCGACAACAAGATCTATCGTCACGTAAGAAAAAAGTGGGATATTTTTTTTTGGTGCCAACTACTTGCGCGATGGAAATATAATTTGTCGAGTAAAGTTTGATGTCGACACATTCATGCACGACGGAAATTTTCTTTTACGCGACGACATTTAGAATTGGCGTGAAGAACTTTTGTGCCCCGAATCCAAATTTTGGTCGCACAAAAGTGGGATGTTGACATGTACTTGCGCAACGAAATGTACCACTTTTGCGACGAAAATTTGGTTTTGCGCGACGAAAAAATGGATTCGTTGCGCAAAATCCTTCTTCCTCATATCTGGATTTTGCCATTGCAGAGGCAGAATCCAAAAAAAAACACTCTGCCTCTCTTTGCCTCTCTCTGCCGATGTTTCTGCTAGGAATTCAGTACACTCATTGGGTAAGTATTTTTTGTTGTTAGTTTAAAAGTATTAACGTAAATTCATACTAACGCTATTAATTTCGTTCTCGTTAGGGATATTTGTAATTAACGATTGGTGGAGAACGATTGAGAATGTATTTTATTCGATTTATATTTTAAAATATTAAATTAATTACATTATGTTAAACTTAGTTTGTTATGTTTATTAATTTTTTTTGTGAAATTATATTTATATTATGTTGTTAAATTATTCGTGACGTAGCACAATGTGTTGTGATGTACGAAGTTAATTGAAATTAACTTCGTACTTTTATTTTTATTTTTAGTAACACTTAGTTTTCCCTTAGAGATTAGTTGGATTTCGTGCATGAATGCGTAAAGCATGACTGCGGTCCAATTAATTCTTGAATTGTCCTATTATTTGGACAGTTTGGGAATGCATAGTCATGTCACGTAATGTACGGCTACAGGATTATGTTTCGATTGTGGAGATTTCGGTGTTATCTCTGTACGTTCTTCGGGTGGTACGTAGGTATTTATACCTACGGTACACCTCAAGAACTGTATTGAGATGCTGTCGAAATTCATCCACGTCGAAATCTAATCTCATGTAGCCGTACATTACGTGATATGACTATGCATAATGAATTTTGTTGGTAATTTTATTATGTTAATGTACAGATTTTGGCAAATATGCTTGTTTGAATATATGTACTTGTTATATCCAAACCTAATATATGTGGAGAAATGAAACATTGTTAAATAAATTGAGCTATACAAGAAAATGAGAAATGAAAATAAATTTAGTTATAAAACATTGGTAAATAAATATATCCAAACCCTTTTGATAATAATTTTGAAAATTATTTTTACAAAACATTTGTAAAAAATGAAAATGAGATACAATCTGAAGTAAATATGTATTTGGTGCCAAATACTTGAGCGACGAACATAGCCTCGTCGCGCATAGTTCTATTTTGTGCGACGAAAAAATTACTCGTCGCGATAGTTGCAATTTTGCTCGACAAAATTTGTTTCTCGTTGTGTCAAGTTGTAATTTCCCTCGACAACTGCACCTTTTGTCGCGTAAAGTTTAATTTTGCGTGACGATTTCATTACTTGTCGCGTCAATATATTTGTTTTAATATAATATAATATATATACACATATACTATAATATACACATATATATTTGAAATTGACGATCGAATTAGTTCATTGTATTCATATAGGGTCAAGAAGTGTAGTTGTTAAAAATCATCAAAATCGGAGTTAAAATAACCGTTAAATCGTGACTTTTCATTTATAACTGTCGAAAAGTTTTGTCCCGTTACTTGATCTTTGAATGTTTGTTTTTTTCAATTTTTGGCGTATATGATCTCGAAGTATAAACAAACAAGTTTGACGGTTGGATCATTGAAACTAGTTTCGTAGAATGCGTATGCCATCAAAACAATATATTCACCAACAATTAAGAGTTTATTTATACTTTCATTCAATATAACATAAGATTTTGTGGTATCCACTAGTGTAAATATCTTAAATTGAAGATCAAATTCAGTCATTGTATTCATATAGGGTCAAGGAGTGTACCTAAAAAAAAATCATCCCAATCGGTGTTAAAATAACCGTTAAATCGTGAGTTTTCATTTATAACCATTGAAAAGTTTTGTCTCGTTACTAGATCTCTGAATGTTTGTTTTTTGAGATTTTTGGGGTAACAATATCGATTAGATACATATAACAAATACAAAAAAAAAAAAAAAAAAAAAAAAAAAAAAAAAAAAAAAAAAAACGTAGGCGGCGTACGTAGATAAATAAAACACGAAAAAAAGAAAAAAGTCGCACACAAAATTTCCGCAAAAAAAATTTTGTTGATTATTTTACGGTCGTTGGAAAATCACTTTAGAAAAGCGACGCCAAGACATCCAGCGTTGCGCAACATACGTTTGAGCAACAACTGGGCATCCTACGTTGCGCACTGTTATAATTTTCGAGGGTTGAGGGATTATGCGACGAATAATTTTTTATTCGTCGCGCAAAGTCTATAAAACACAACCTTGCGCGACGCCGTAGTGTATTCGTTGCGCAATATCGGTCAGACCCTTCACTTTCTCTCTGTCCCCCTAAACTGTAAACCGTAAATTTTGGCGAATCACAACCTTGCGCAACGGAAAAATAAATTATTCGTCGCGCAAAGTTTATAAAAAAAAACCTTGCGCGACGCCGTAGTGTATTCGTTGCGCAATATCGGTCAGACCCTTCACTTTCTCTCTTTAACCCTAAACCCTAAACCTCAAATTTTGGCGGAATCAGAATCTTGTGCAACCGAAAAATAAATTATTCATCGCGGAAAGTCTATAAAACACAACCTTGCGCGACGACGTCGTATATTCTTCGCGCAATATCGGTTAGACCCTAAACCCTAAACCCCAAATTTTGGCGGAAAACATATCTTGCGCGATGTCATCATTTTGTTTTTGTCGCGTAAGGTTGATTAAACACATCTTGTGCGACGCTTTGTTTTATTCGTCGCGCAAGATTGATTAAATTTTCAGAAAAAATGCGATGGCCTTTGGTCTTCATCCTCACTTTCTCTCTCTTTGCCCTCTCTCTCCGCCGTCAACTGCCTCACCTCCACCCACTACTCCGCCAGAAAAAAGACCTGGCCGCCACCACCTTCGTAGCCCAGACCTTCCCCGCCGTCACCGTCACGCCTGCCGCCGGAATTGGCCTTGTTTTCATAGATTCTTCGCCAACCTCGTTCTCTCCTCCGGCCACCAATTCCGACACCTGAGGTATGATTTCTGGACTATTTTTCGTGCTCAAGCTGATGGTTGGGTAGGATTTGATTAATTGTTAGTTTTGGTATCTTGAATAAACCCTAAGTTTGGCCGGTTTTTAAATTTCAATTCCGGCCACTTCTGGCCATTTTCGGGGTAGGTCCGAGAACGAAAGTGGCTCTAATTGATGTTTTGAACCTAGGGTAGGAACCTTGGCCCTTAATTTTTATAATTTTTTGGTGATTGTTATCTCTTTGGACACCCACGCGTTGCCAGTGCGTGTGGTGGCACGTGGGTTATTGTAGCAGTGGGGCATTGGATCCCAGTGCAATCCCCTAGTTGTCACGAACGCGTAGGTGTGCTCGGATTTGAATTTGGTTACCGTTTGAGTTTTGAATGGATTTCGCCTATTGTGTGATTTCTGGTTTGATATGTTTGGACTGTTTGATCGAACTCAAACTCATGTATGTTGTACCTTGTAATTTCTAGGATCGTGTAGGATTCAACGGATAGTGAGTCAGACTCCCGGATACTCCGAAATCGCAAACCCTAGGTCAAGCTATGCTTTCAATTAATTAGTTAAGATTCTTAATGAAATTGTATGTGCTTAGAATTATATCTTCGTAAATTGGATTAATTTGTATGTGTATTAATGAAATTGTGCAGATGTCAAACCTGATTAGAAGTCGTAAGGCGGTGACGATTGCACAGAGTTCGCCTCCCTTGGCTCAGCCGTCATTTGCCACTGCTTCAGCACTGATGGACCACTTTCCAGTTGGTCCTGAGGTGTCCTAGGTGCCGGCGTCATCAGCGTCATCAGTGGCGCAGCCTGTTAGGGCTAGGCGTCGTCACCGGCTCGCTAGCACCACCGACACCACATCGACAGACGCTACAGGTGAGTCTGGGTCGCAACCAAGTACAGATTTCCTTCAACTCCAATTGAATTTGTTTTTGTTTTTTGTTTTTGTTTTTTGTATTTTATAGTTGAACTTGTCGGTAGTTGAAGATGGCGAAGGTCACCCGGGTGACCAACAGTCGTATCAACATCGGATACGACGAGCTGCATCGGGCTGCACCGACGGCGAAGTTGCATAGCTCATTGGTCCACGACATTGGTCACGTCGTTCAGACCCATTGCCTGATGCAATGGAAGTCTTGGAAGGTCATGCCTGCCGAGATCCAGAAAGAGGTGCGCGGACAGTTGTCGGTATGTATCTTATCTTTTAATTCTATTTCCTTCAAACTTTATATATTTCTATTACTTAATGTATGTAATTAATTAATTGCAGAAGAACTACAACTTAGAGGACCTCGATGATGAGTCGTTGGCGTACGTCAACAGACTCTTTGCTGAGAGGTACAAGTAGTGGAAGAGCGACTTGCACCACCATTTTCAGGCATTTGATGATCCGCATGTCGCTTTTCAAAAGGGTTGCCCGAAGGAGCTTGAGGGGCAGGAGGATAGTTGGGCATGGCTCTGCACTCATTTTCAGGCACCCGATTATGTGGTATTTTTTAATATTAATTTCAAAATTATTACATGTTTCTTACTCATGTTTATTTAATTTTTTATAATTCATTTCAATTTCAACTATAATACGTTTATTTTTTGTATAATAGAATAAAGCCAAAGTCAATAAGGGCAATAGGAACAAGAAGACTCTTCTCCACCATTCAAGTTCCAGGCCCTTCTTATATAGGATGGATGCATGGCGGCGGCTAATAATAAAATAGTTTATATTCAATTCTTAATATGTCATTAATATTAATTTTTTTTTCGTACTAACATTTTTCTTCTCTTGTTCAATTTAGGGGACATCTTTGGCGACATTTATGTTCGACCTGGGAATGAGTTGGCCGAGTCCCTTCATGTAAGTATTCTTTAATTTTAATTATTATCTTACGCATTCAAGTTTCAGGGTTATTATATGAATGTTTTAATTTATGTTTTATGTTATGTTAAGCAGACGACGATGGTGGAGATGAGCCAGTTGGTTCTTCAAGAGTCCGCCTCCCAACTTCTTCCTGATACTCCAATCGAGTCTGTGGATCCTCCACAGGATGCTGGGTTTCAAATCTTGACGGAAACGTTGGATCAGACTCTTGGGAGGAGGTCGGGGACATATTGTCGAGGGATGGGGAACGCCCGGCAGAGGGAACGTAAACCCCGTTCATCGTTGCAGTCAAACAGTCAGGTGACTACTTTGATAGCAAAGGTGGCCGAGCTTCAGGGTCAGATGTCTATGCTTCTGGAGTCCCTCGAGCGGTCCGGCTTTCTAGTCCAGCATTTTGGTCCCTCGTCGACCTCCGAGCCCTTCCACCCCGAGCATGCCCACCAGACCTCTACCCCTATGGACCCCCAGACCTCCGAGCCGCATATGCCTAACGACCAAGTAGATTTTGGAACATTATTTGATTAGTTTTTTATTTTCATAATTATATTTTATACATTTATCTTGTAGTATACATTTATATTATTTTATATAAGTTTTTGTTCTCTTCATTACATTTTCTTATTGCAATTTCATTTTATTACCCCAAAAAAAAACCAAATTTATTTGTTTACAAAATAAAAAAACGTAAAATTAAATTTAAATAATATATATTTTAATTTTGCACGATGAAATGTTTTTCGTCGTGCAAATTCACATTTTACAAAATAAAAAAAAACGTAAAACTACATTTTAAATAAATATATTTTATTCTTGCACGATGAAGATATTCATCTTGCGAAAAAGATACGCGCGACAACGACGATTTCGTCGCGCAACATGATTCGTTGAGCAAATGTTGGAGACACGAATTGCGCGACGAATAAAAATCGTCGTGCAAATAGTTGCGAGACGAACTGCGCGACGAATATTATTCGTCACGCAGTGTACTCGCGACGAACATGCTTTCGTCGCCCAAAGGTTTGTGAGACGAACAATTGTGTCGTCCCTAAACCTTTTGTGCAACGAAGGTTAACCGTCGCTCAATTTTGCGCGACCAATACAAAAACTTGGTTGCGCAAAGTCTTTCTTCACGCTCTTTACGCGACGAATTTTCTGTCACGCTGAAATTTGGGGGACTAAAAGTAAATTTGCGCGAAGAAATTCTCTTCGTCACGCAAATCGTAAAATGTAGTAGTGATAGGTCTTTTATCATTGTTATTTTTGTGTGTGCTGAATTATAATGAAAGAGCCTATTCTTCTAAGAAACTAGTGTCCATTTGTTTTATTTTATTTATCCTACACTACTTACAGAGGTTCCTATCTTCTCTTTGAAAACAAGGTCATCATCCGTTGTTTTCTGTTAGCTCTAAAGTCTTCATTGTTTTCTATACAGCCACTTGAATTTACAAAAATCAATTGAAACTAGTAGACCTCATAGTTCTTGTTCCCAAATTTCCATTCTCTCTCTTATCTTTGCATATTAATTTATAAGAGTGATTTGATGCACGTATTGTCATCAAATTGCAACACAAAATCCATAGCTCCAGAGTTCTTCGAGTACGAAGAATAGAGAAAAATACTCGGAAAAAAAAATATTGAAAAAGAGCTAATCAGATAGTAACAAACAAGAGGGAAAAAAAAGAACTAAGAACCATAACAACAATAAACGAAAATTAAAAGACTTTCAACATTTCGTTTCATTTATATGTAGGCAATGTCAAAACATCAATTAAATCAAATACCAGTAGTGCCACCACCACCACCGTGAAACTCCAAACAAAAAAAATGAGCTAGCTACTTGGATTGACAAATCTGGTCCAAGCACATATTCATGTATTTTACCAAGCTTTTCTAGTTTGACAATGTTTGAGAAACAATAATAATGATATACTGGTTGTTGCAAGAAAATAAGCAGATGGTAATACAGGGAATTGGAAGCATTGTATAAAGTTTCATAGTTGCGTACATGATCACCATGTTCTACATCTTGACCACCAGTTCTGCTACCTGATGTAGACAGGCAGGCTTTGGCATGGATCGACGGGATAAACAGAAGTAAATAAGCACGTCTGTAATGGTGTCATAATCAGAGGTTTTATCTTATCATTTCTAATAATTGTGGGTTCAATGCCATTTTCAGTTACATTTTCGTGGCTATATACAGCTTTGTAATCTGAATATGTAATCAGACTTTTGAATATAGAATTGAACCATTTCAAAGGAGTTTCATCTCTCTGTGTTTAGTGCCTTTCTCTTGAGAGATTGTTGCTTTTGTTCCTAGTTCTCTGATTTTCAGGGTAGTGCTAGAAACATAGCAATTAATCCAGGGTTTTTAGGTCTCTCCCTGCACCTGGAGATAGTGGACCCTAATTTACCTGGCTTTTGCTTGGCCCTGCATCAGTACCTTTAGGGTTCACAAAGGGCTCAAGATAGAGTAGTTGTATTTTTCAGATGTAAGGGACTACTCTATAAGATGTTGATCAACTAATTCATCCACTAAAGCACCACCTTGATGCATTATGAGAATCGACGCCCTGGCCACAATGTTGGACGATGCCAATGTATCTCCCAAGGGTCCAAGCTCCGGGCAGTCACCCCACTCCGATAGCCCAAACGTGAGTGGTGAAGAACCTGTTTGTCCTCTTCCCACGATATAAAGATCATAGTCATTTCCCATGGCGCTTATCAATTTGAGAGTTTCCTCCCCATTGTTCACCACCTCGTTAATTAATCTTATGGAGGGTTGGTTCCTAGTATTGAACACGAAGCTCTCTATATATTGGTCGTCTAGATGTTTCTCCTTCTCGTCTTCCTCTATTGCCTCTAAAATATTCTTGTCTTCGTCCTCATGATGATCATGATCATTATTAGGATTGTTGGGACGGAGATCTGAATCAACTGACTCATCTTTACCGACGATGAAACGAACCACAGTTAAGCTGATATTAGGATTAGGGCTAGGATTGCTAGCCATCCTCCATGCATATGCCAATGCCTCACGGTCATCTGGCCCACCAATGAAGAGCATGGCGCAGCGGCAGCAGCCATGGCCATCGTCATTTTTAATGTTAGATGGATCGGTGAGCCCACGATCCACGAAAATGGCCACCGAACAAGAAGCGTTCTCTAGAAGGTTCTTGTTAACGCCTCTAAAGGAGGAGTTTCCGTTGTCCATTTCCCCGCCAATGGTGGATTGCTTGTGGAAAGGAATGATTATAAGGTCTGCACTCTTGTCATCAGCAAGGTTGCAAATGTCCTCGTGCATGGAGGTGTAAGGGGACACAGCAGTTAGTGCCTCCACTGACAAGCTGCCTTCTTCGCTTTCGGTCTCAAGTTTTTCAAAGGCAGCGACAATTTGGTTAGAAGGCGAAGAGTGCTTTTGATTTTTGGCTGTAATTTCAGTTGTGTTACGAATATTGCTGCATGTGTCGTGGACTATGAGCATGGCCGAAGCATGGCCACTGAGCTCCACCAGATGGACCGCAAAGACGAACATCGGGGATTGTTTGGTGGGATTGGAAGTCTCCAACAGATTGATGATGCTTGAAACATTGCTTGTTGAATGGATGCAAATAAGTATTCGAAATTCTGAGTTGGGTTGTATGCTTCTTATGCTTCTGTGTGTGTGCTGCTTAGATGGCCCATTCGACTTGTAAATCAAAGCCAAAATGGGTCCAACCGCTGCCGTCATTATCACAATTGCAAGAATCATTACTGAAAAAGTATTGTGGTCCAAAACCTGCATTTATATATATTTGCCAATTAAAACGATATAAAATCAAGAATTTGACACATACTTTTAAGATATATATTTCTTAGATGTAATTTATTTGTACTTTGTTTAGGGGGACGCTTGGTAATGCCATTGTACCACATTCATTGACCAAGTTACTATGACCGTTGTACTACGTACATTCACTGACCATATTATTGAACACCTCTCTAATACATATAGGTTCCACATATTGAGGTGGTTAGCGAAATGGTCAATAAATGTAGTACAAATAGCATTAAACATAACCTTAATAAACAAAGAGACCTATTACCATAAGGAAAATTTAAAAAATATTTGAAACAAAATTTCTAAAAGGGAAAATGACTCATGCCATTAATTACTACCAGTAAATTAAACTAATAACCTAACCTTTAATTTTTATTTTCCTAAATACAGTAGTAAACTTACATAACTTGAATATAGTATTACTTAAACCCAATACTAAGCCTAAAAGGCATGCATTTGGCCATATGTTATAAACTAATTAATTATCAAGGACTTGATTAATTAATCATGGAATTTTGTGTGTGTGTGTGGATTACATACATACATGTAAGTCCCGCCCAGAATTGAGGATTATTGTAGCCAACAGGCCTTTGGCGTTCATGACTAGTCCTAAAGACAAACTGTCCCTCACCGGCATTTTGTTGATGATGGCAGCGACGGAAGTCACAACAAATTTAGCAAGGAAAGCCAGGGCAACAATTGACATGACAATTAGAAGGCTTGCACTGCGAAAGACAACATCGACATGCGTTCTCATCCCAAGAATCAAAAAGAAGAGGGGCAGCAAGACTTTTGACACAAAGTCCTCAACCTTTTCGGTGATTACAGTTTTAAGCTCTCCCTTGGGCAAAATGGCTCCCAACATGAAGGCCCCAAGAATGGAATGTGACCCGAACGCATCACTAATGAACCCAAACAGCAGAACCCCGGCCATGATGAAGCATATTTGGTTGTCCATGTCGTACTTTTCGTTGAAAAAGCTCGTGTTGTAAACCATCCATGACAGCACCGGACGAAGCCCGTATACACAGAATATGATCAATGTGAAGGTGGACAACACTGTGTAAAGTTTGCCATCGCTGACTATGGCCACTGTGATGACAAGAAGAACCCAAGAGACAAGGTCGTTGATGACGCTTACGGAGAGGGCGGTCCTGCCAACGTCGCTGTGGAGGAGCTTGGCATCGGCAAGTACTTGGGCAAGTTCGGAGAAGTTGGTGGTGGCAAGGGTGGTGCCCCAGAAGAAAGGACCATAAGTAGTAGCCTTTAGTGGGTGGGAGTTGGGTGTTAGGGTTTTGTGGAGGAGATAGCCAAGAGGGAAGGGAACTAGAATTCCAGCAGTGGCAATGCTCCAAACTTTTTTTCTGGCCTGCAAAATTGGCTTGAAATCGACCTCTAAGCCCTGGAGGAACATGTAGTAAATCAACCCCAAGTTGGCCATTGTCTCTATGGTCAACATGCTATTGACTGGAAATAGGTATTTGCGAGAGAACTGGGTTTTCAGGATAAAAGATGGACCCAAAATTATGCCACCCTGCAATGTGCATGCATGCATATGCCAATGTATTACTATTTGTCCTTGTCATAAAAATATCAATATTATGCATATAGATGTGATATTTACGTGACGTTGGTTGGACTGTATAGTTGGATTATTGATTAAATTGATTCTCAATTATCGTTCCATCACAATAGAATTTTGATA